AGATGCTTCTGGTCTGCGCCCACACTGTAGGCATCTGTCACATACACACCCACCCCCAGATTGTCACTAAAGGCCCCCACCACTTTGGTTTGGAAGCTAGATTTGCTGAGCTCATCAGCGACTGAAGAGACATTTTTGTGGACCCCTACAGACAGGTTGTCGGATCCATCTCCTCTCAGCCAGGTCAGAGCGTTCTCTACAAGAGCTGGGAAGGTCGACAGGTAATTCTCATGACCCAGAACTACAATCCTTCCCCTGCCGTACAGAGACGCAGCCATCAGGGTCTGGCCTTGGCTGTTCATTGCCAAAGGAAAGGCATGGTCTCCAATCAGGACCAGATCGCTGGGAACACAGTGGTCACGGAGGTCCAGCTCTTTCAAGCCTCTCATCAGTGACATGTAGGCAACCTCATGGTGGTTTTGCATGGGTTGGTTGGACATGGTGAGAATGTTTGATGCCCTGAAAATGTACAAAGAGGGTGGAGAGCAGGAAAAGAGTTGACTCAGACACAATACTGACTTCGATAACATATTTATTTAGTTAGTCTGTACTGTGGGGGATAATAGATTATTTCTTAAAAAAATCGGATCCATTACAACGTCACTTTGATTCTACAACTGGAGACAAAAGAATATTAGGTACTCGACTTGGGTTCACAGAGACCAAAGAGTTTGCAATAATTACTGAAAAGAAAGAAGGAAAGAAAGAATATATATTTTTTTACCTGTTAAAGAGTTTCTTCTTGTATTATCAGACTGCTGCAGACACCAGACGGTTTTCCAGACAGCCACTCTCATGTAATGTATATCTGACCGGACAGATGAGACAATATAAACGAGAGAAGGCAGTATGGGAGTGGGTATTTAAGGGCAAAAACAAAAAGAGGAGTGACTTCAGTGACAGGCTGTTAATACCAGCAAAGAACAAACACCAGCACATCTCTGCTAACATTCTCAGCGTGTGAATAATAAACTGCTGGAGATACACCCTGAATGACAATACATAAGAAACCTGATTTTCCTGCTGGCATGGTGAGGAAGCAAATGAGTTGATGTTGACACAACATTTTAGCTGTGAAATCAACCACTCAGGGCATCTGTGTTTTTATGTCTTAAACAAACTTATGATGATTAATATTTTGTAGAGAATGTGTGTTTGCATTTGGTGTATGTGTGTTCTCATACCTTTGTGAGGACCATTATAAGCATAGACTCTACAGAGTGACATTTTTGGAAAGTGAGGACATTTTGACCAGTCGTCACTTTTTCATTGGGCTGTCTGAGGGTTAACAATGTAAATGCAACATTCAATTTACGATCATCTAGATAATATTCAAAACACCTGCCTCTATAAAGTATATATCTATAACTATACATCTAYAAACATCTATAAAAACTAAATACACATGTAAATAAAAGGAATCTCTCAAACAGGCTTGTTATGATGAACTCAGAAAAAGAGAAAGATTACACACATCACAATAACATGAAAAGAGGAGGAACAGGTGATTACACATATRCAGGAGTCTGTTACACAAAGAGACATTTAGTCTGAGAGTTTATCATCTTGTCCTGACTTTTCCTTTTTAAATCGTTGCTGTTCGACGCTCAGTCAAAACCGGAACTCCTCAAAATAATATTGAAATAGCATTTATTTCCCAAGACACCGCAATAAATGGTTATAAATAAACCAACAACTTTACCAGGCGTGTATCTTTTACATTCGTCGCACAGAGATATGAGTCGCTGTCAGACAGAAGGTTTTACAAAGGAAACCGGAAAAGAAAGAGCGGAACCATCGACTTGGGCCGGTTTCTGGTCGAGTGTATTTTTCGAGTGGACCGCGGGTACAGCGCTCAAACGACTCCCACTCCTTAAATGGAGAAGTTGTGATAAAGTGGCTACTCGAGTAAATTCATATTTATTACACAGTCAGCGAGTAACAGTGTGAGTCCGCGCCACCGTCAGGCTGAACGCGGAGCTGCTGCGGTCCCTCGGATGTCGTGCACGCTGGTCGGCGCCTCCGGGGCTCGGATCCCTCTGCAGGATGGCCGGGCTGTGATTCTGGGCCGGGGTCCGCAGACCGGGGTCAGCGATAAGAAATGCTCCAGGCACCAGGGTGAGGAGGGGTTCATCATCATTCAAATAGTTCTAAGTGCTCAAATGTTTGGGAAGAATTGCTTTAATTACTCAAAGTTAAAAATTGGTACCAATTCAGTATTAAACACATTATAACAACCAGGAAGAAAACGGATTCATCCAACTCCAGCTCACTGAGGTTAGTAAACCAGCATCCCTCTGTGTGAGACTCAGCGTTGAGTGTCATTATGACCCCAGCTTTCTAATAAAGAGGGCAGAGGTAGACATAGAGTCTAAAATATTAGTCTATCAAACCATTAATGTAAATCTATTTGTTTTAATATAATTAAAAGTTGTTTTGAGTCACTTTTCAAGATTTCAAACTATTTGCATAGAGTTTACTTCTTTTTCTTTTTTCAGTGATCATCTTGATTTGTATCTTTGAACTAATGACAGTAACACAACAGTAATACAAATGTGATAAACTGTTCACCATTAACTTTGCAGGACACAACGCTAAGCTGCCAGTTTGTTAGGTACGCCTTGATAAAACAGATACAGTCTAATACTATAGATCTGCAATAACTTGCAGGGTGAGAAGGCTCAAACACAAATATCCATCCTGAAGATTATAATTCTTGTTTAAATTGTTTAAGGATTTGTTGATTCACCTGTGTGGTCATTTTTGGGGACACGGTTAGTTGGGTGTTTAAACAGTGTTGTGTGAATACAGAGAGATGTTTCTTCCCTCATTGATATGCAGCAACCCATGTTTACACATTTAGTCTGCGTGTTTTGTCCAAAGGTCCAATGCCCAAATGCTTTAAGTTAGCCAAGAAATGAAGCAAAAAACAAATTGAGAAACTGGCATCAGTTAAATTGTAGCATAAATAAATATAAAAAGGGCAATTAATCAATTTTTCATTTAAAACTTTAACTTCTAAATGAACATATATATCAAACTGTATATGTTTGTGTGTGTGAATATATGTGTGTGGTGACACTTACCTTTGTGTTTCCTCCAGTGAAAGTGGTGGCTTGCTATCCAGACAAGGATGTGGTTGTTACTCAGGTATGAAAACAAACAGATGTGTGTCACAGGCTCACAGCTTATATTTATTTAGTCTCCCTGTGAAATTCTCAGGCTAGAAACACCACTGCCAGAATACACTGCAAAAGATGCCACAGAATATTTAATATTTAGCATTTTGGCACTGCACAATCAAAATGTCATTGTGCGACTCTCACTCTCTTGCCTTGACTGCCTAGAGTCATAACCCCATACAATGCCACAGTACTGTGTTGATACATTTCCTATTTTGCTCCACAGCTTGGTGCCAATCCCAGTTTCCTGGATGATAAGCAGCTGGGCCGAGGTCAGTCTGGTAAACTCACCCATGGAGGTGTTCTCTACCTGGTTAACCACAACCATCCATTTAAACTGCACTACTCTCTGAGCTCCAATGGTACAACCTCCAGTGCTGCACAGAAAATGCTGAAAGCCACAGATAAGACAAAAAGAGGAAGGAACGAGAAAGAAAAAGAGACACAGTCAAGTCCGGCACTGAAACGCAGTATAAAGGATTTCTTTCCTACCTCCCCCACGAAGGTAACACAGTTTTCACTGTTCTAATCTTTCTTGATGTCTTTTTTTTTTTATATATTAAAATGATAGTGTCGGTGATAGTGCAGTGTTTTTTTTTTCTGTTCAGTCTTATAAAAGACAACTGAGCCCAGAGAAGGGGCAACCTGAGGTGAAGCGCCAAAGGATAGATGAGGAGGTGACAGGTGAATGGATGAAGGAAGAAGAAGAGGATGAGGAGGAGAGACTGGCAGAGGAAAAGCTCAAGCAGCTGCAGGAGTTGGCAGAGAAGTCTATGACAGAGATGAGTAACAACCCCCACCCTTCGTCTTCGTCTTCATCATCATCATCGTCAAAGGCCTCTCTAAAGAGCAGCTGGCAGCTGATCGGCAACCTGATGCTTTACACTGCTGCTGGAGTCAAAGGGAGTGACAAGGTGGGGACTGTTTCAATGCTAATGAAGTTTGTCTCTATCCAAGTATTCATCTTTATCAGCACTGTGACACAGCATTGTAATAGGCTAAATAAACGCTGTGTGGGTTTTATATAATAAAAAAAACACCATTCACCCCAGAGTAAGTTATTTTCATGCAGGATTGATGAATTCCAGCTTATGAATTGTGATCATTTGCTGTTTTTCTGTATTTTACATCAGTGTGAACTCATCTTTGGGTTAGGACTGTCGATTGAACAAAACAAGATGGTGAAATACAAAAAAAGCAGTGTAGCAGTGACAGTGTAGAAGACATTTTGTTTTATTTTCTGATATTTGATATACAAAGCATATCCATTATTGATTAGAGCTTTACTGACATCACCTTTTCTCATATTTTATAAGTTGTTAAGATGAGGAGATCATCCAGCGCCGGTGAAAATCTCTGAATATTCCTCTTCTTGTCTCCACCTCCAGATTGCTGGGTTTGACATAGATGGCTGCATCATCACCACCAAGTCTGGGAAAGTCTTTCCTACCGCACCAGATGATTGGAGGTATGTTCACGTGTTTGCTATAGCTAAGAATAGTGATCATTAGGTGTCTGTCAATGAGGCTAGAATAAAAGACTGTCTCACCTGGTGCTGACTGGCTAGTTCTGGTATTGAACTTTAGCTTGAGTGTGTACATATGTGTGGTTTGATCTCAAGGATGCACACTATGATGGTGAATTGGTTAATAAGTCTCTTCTCTCTGCACTCTACACACACATCACACTCTTTACTCACGTGTGCTTACTCCTGCTCACCAGCAGATTATATCTCACGTCTACAGGATTTGTTGTAATCATTCTTGTGTTTGAATCCCAGGATTCTGTTTCCAGAGATTCAGCCCAGACTGGCCACTTTGCTCAGAAGAGGATATAAGGTGAGAAGGGAAAACAGCAGCTGCTTATAATACCTCGTGCACTTTGCAAGATTAAAGGAAAGGCAAGTTTATTTTATAGCACATTTCAACAACGAGGCATTTCAAAATGATTCACATAAAATCTAAAAGGCATCATGTCAAATTGCAACATAAGACGAAGTACATGGCTCAGGAGGTGGAGCGGGTTGTCCACCAACCAGGTGTATGAATGTGTACAAGTGAATGGGTGGATTCACCACTTGATTTATTCTGCTAATGCTCTCCCCTTTGTAGGTGGTGTTCTTCACAAACCAGATGGGGATCACTAGAGGCAAACTGAGACCAGAAGTCTTCAAGTCTAAAGTTGAGGACATACTCACCAGGCTGCAGTTACCTGTGCAGGTTTGCTGGGCTGTAAATTGACTCATAACCACTTAAGTAGATATATTATGTAAAGCAGAAATTTGGATGCTGCATATTTCTGTGTTTCAGGTGTTTGTAGCCAGCGGTCCTGGTATCTACAGGAAACCAGTTTTGGGAATGTGGAACCACTTGTGTGAGAAGGTAGCCGTCAGCTGAGACACATGGACACACACACACACGCCTGTGTAACTAAAAAACCACACCTCATTTCCAGCCTTTGAGCTGAGGCTGACAACACAAAATATAAATAACACTGACTACACTGAGTCATAGAAACTGCCCTGTCGTCATTCCTCATAACATTATTTACTGTTGTGCCTGCATGTATGATGGTGTATGTGTGATTTAACTGAAAGAATTGTTGCACGTTTGTCACCTGCTCAGGCTAATGATGGTGTCCCCGTTGATAAGACAGCAAGTTTTTATGTGGGAGGTGAGTAGAGTCATGGTTGTGACTGTCTGTGTTGCACATATGTTACATAAGCTATATAAACTAGATTTTGAAAAGAAAAATTCTGTTATTTTCTCCTAATTTTAGAAATGTGCTTGGTAGGCACACTATTAATTGCCTGTTATTTAACTTAAATTATTATTTTATCTATTATCTGACTAATCGGGATCTAATGGCTTAACCTGTGTGCTCAGATGCCGCGGGGAGGCCTGAAAACTGGGCTCCAGGGAAGAAGAAGAAGGATTTTTCCTGCAGTGACCGACTGGTGAGACTTCTTAGTCTGGTTAAGTTTGACCACTTTGTTGACTGTTGCTTCTTTGAAGTATTGTGTCATTAAATAAGTCTGGTGTAAAAATAATCTATTATCAATATGTGTAAGTGTAACTATTATTGTCCTATTTCTTGTAGTTTGCTCTGAACATGGGGTTGAAGTTCCACACCCCAGAGGAGTACTTTTTGGGCTGGAAGAGCGCCCCCTACAGCCTGCCTGATTTTGACCCAGTAAGTACAATTACCAATTTACCATGAACAGTTTTTTTTAATGTATTAAGTTGTGTTGGTATTAGCTCCATGTTGAAAATTACTGAGGGGAAAAAATTAATAACTTATGAGAACTAATAACTTATTTTAGACTACGTGTTATTGTAGAGGGGGATGGCAGAATTTTTTTGGAAGAGTATCAGGTCCAGACATTTTCTCTTGTTTTTCGAGTCTATTCTGAAGAAAGAACTACAAAGACTTTGATGAAATTGCTTCTTTTGTGGAGGAGGAAATGCATGATAGTGTTTTCGATAAAGTTTTGTCTGCTTCTGTATTTTCGTAAACTTTTTCCTTCGTCTGAATCGTCAGAGGAAGCTCGACACGGCTGACAGGCTGTACGACCCTCCATCGGCTTCCCTCACGTCCAGCAGGACAGAAGTCATTGTTGCCGTGGGTTTCCCTGCTTGTAAGTGAACTTGGACGGTTTATCATGTTTAGATTTTCTGTTCTATCCTCCCGACAACACCCTTCTCACGTTGTTTTCTCTTCTCTTTCTCCGCAGCGGGTAAATCCACTTTCTTCCACACCCACATCATTCCACATGGTTATGTGTACGTCAATAGGGTGAGTGCATACGAACAGGACTCCAGATGATGTTTCTTTTTTTTTCCTTGATTCCTTGATTTAGAGTTTTTATGTTTCATCACAGGAACAATAGATTGATCCTTTCACTTGTTTTTATAATGCGTCAGGACACACTCGGGTCATGGCAGAGCTGTGTGTCGGCATGTGAGCGTGCTTTGAAGGAAGGCCGGAGTGTTGCTGTGGACAACACCAACCCGGACCCTGAGTCTCGCAAGCGGTAATGCAGCAGTGTTTCATCTATATTTACTATGAAGGCGGATTATCTGTGTGTTCCCTCGACTGTTTGCATCTCTAGCTCCACCTCACTGACTTCTCCTTTAGACAAACAAAAGCATCAATAGACAGTCGTGCAAGAGAAAAGATTAAATATACACAAACAGATGAGAAGGGTTTTCCTTGTTGTCTACACTGAGCTATGATTTATGTGATTTGAAGGACAGTGTTATTTGTAATTGTGGCACTGTACCAAGAATGACACAATAATAAAAAACTGAGAAATGACCCACAGACATAGGAATACTGGAATCACTTACCGGAAAGAAAAAGGTTTTAGTCCAATAGATGATGTAGTCTCCTGGAGACACACCAGCGAATTTCATGGAAACATTGTCCAATCCACTTCCAGTCTTTTTTCAAGGAATCGTACTAAATGGGTGTATTTAATAATCTGTGTATTCATTATGTATTGAAAAAGAGAAACTTTGCATAGTCTAAATTCACGACATGTTAAATGAAACTTTCAAGTCTGTTTTGTTTAAATTTCGTTGACAGTGTACAGTTTATGAAATTCAAAAATTCAGTATCTGAGAATATTTAATAAATTATGAATTTTTACTAAGATCAATCAAAAAAATTGGGGATTTCTGTCCCACTTCTGAAAAGTCTGTTCCTTTATGCAGTCAATACTTGGTCAGGGCTCCTTTAGCACAATTGACTGCATCAATCCAGTGTGGCATCTGAAACATTTTAGTTTGTGAGAAATGGGTCTAGAATATATAAAATTTTCACTTTCTTAAATTTGCTGCTTGCTTGCTTGTGAGTTTGGTTTTCTCCGTCCTTGTCTCACCTAATTCTGCATTTTCTAGCTATGTGGACGTGGCCAAAGCGGCAGGAGTGTCCTGTCGCTGTTTCCACTTCTCAGCCTCTCTGGAGCAAGCCAAACACAACAACAGAGTAAGACTGGTCTCTGTACTCTGGTGTGCTTCATCTGGTCACAAAGTGTGTGTTTGTTGATGTTGTTTTGATATTGTTTTCGTCAGTTCCGTGAAATGGCTCCGTCAGAAAGCAAACACGCCAAGGTCAACGACATGATTTTCCACAGCTACAAGTAAGCTTTTTACCACACTGACTCAGTGCACTTTGAATCCTGGCTGTAATAACTTAACAGACTTTATCATCAGCTGTGCAATGTTTTTCTGAGTCTGTGTCTCCCTCTGGAACAGAAAACACTTTGTGGCTCCTGCTCTCTCTGAGGGATTCTCCGAGATCCTACAGATCCACTTTGTCCCGGTCTTCAAAGACAGCCAATCAGAGACCCTGTTCCGACAGTTTTCTGAGGGCTGATTGGACGGTTGGCTGACCTGCATCTTGTCTGGGATCCCCACTGACCTGTTCACCTTATATGCAATAAGTGTGTCTCAATTCAGGGGCCGCTTGCTTTAGAAGGCTGCCTTCGTGCACCGCATAGCCTCAAAGTCTGAACCGAAAAGAGACGATCTGGTTTACAGAGGATTGAAGGATGCAGCCCCTGTATTAAGACACAGCTTTTATGGCTTAAGGTCTCTAACTGCACACTAAGAACGGTGATGTAGTCTAGACTTAGCGCAGCACAGAATCAGGAATTGTACAGGAATGTATGATATATTCATGTATGTGTCCCACGACCTGATTATGCATATACGTTTTACATGTGTTGTTTAGAAAGAATAAAATAGATAAAAACACAGTTACATTACTTTTATTTGTTATCAGTGATTTGTTAAAAGAAAAATGATTTCCAAGTAAGCTTACAGTCAGGAAAATCATTGCTATTCCATTTGATTATGACGTTTAGTTGTAATTATTCCCATATGTTGTGAAGTAAGTAATTATAAATGTGCATGATCTCTGTTATTATTCCAAGTGGATCCCTGCAGATTCTGGATCCTCTCAGCTGACGTCGGGCAGGAACTGAATCTGCTCACCCAGATGCTGTTTCAGCCACGGCACAATGTGGAACAGGTCGATGTGAAAGTCTCGAGCGTCAGGAGGCGGTTTGTCGCTGCTGAACCCTTTCACGGCTGGGTTAAGTCGGTCACAAACGTCTATGGTGCCCCAGCTCACGACCCCCACCTGGGGATGAAAGCAGGAGAAGAGTCGATGTGATAGTGATTCCACTTTGCATGATCAGGCTCTTATTAAAGAGAATACTGACCTGAAAGTAGCGCTTTCTTTTTTGCAGAAACAGCGATCCGCCAGAGTCACCTTTATAAAAAGAGACAAAATGTAACTCGTCAAAAAAAACATGGGTCATACAGCTGGTTTCAGACATGACCTCCTAAGAACGTGGGAGAATTGGGCCTGGACTTTCTCCAGAGTTTGCCTTTCACACTTGTACAACACAGCAGGAGATTAATCGCTTAGATGCATTCACGACATCACAGAAATAACCAGAGCAGAAACGTCATCAACATGACCCTCGGTCGTGCTGTGTTCTCACACCAGCTTCTCTGGACTTTCTGCAGACTTTATACCCATAGAGCCTTTACGGAGATTGTCCAGAGGAACTTTGGGATTCAGTGCATGTCTGAAGCTATACAGTGAGTGTCCAGAGTCAAGACCTTTGCAGGTGACAGCATCCTGAAATCCAGAGCTGCCTCCAGAGCAGAGCAGTGTGTTGGGTACGTAATCTTCCAAAGTGACATCGGTGGGGTCTTTTAGTGTCTGCCTGGCCTTCTCCACACAGCCAAGCCTCTGCAGACAGCCAAACACAGTGTAGCAGGATTTACATTTTCAACAGATCTATGTCCACCACATCTACATCTGACCATAAGCATGAAACATAAAACGATGATTGCAGCTCTCACCCTTCCCTTCATCTGTAGGTGTGTTTGTTTGCGTTGCGAGTTCTTATGGACGAAAAACACAGCGGTCTCCTCATGGGACAGTAGTTCATTTCCTGTATACAGTACAGACATTTAACATCAGGAGAACCTATTTAGGATTTTAGCCAGATTTATTTCTTAAACAGTTTGTATGTCCTTGTATTCATGATATGAATTCTTCTGCTAAACAGACTCATGAGTATAAAGGCCACATACTGTGCTGCTGACAGGTAGAGTTGAATTTTTTCATGGCTCTGCTGGCTGGTACGGTGCACGGCAAGCAGATAGGTCTGTTGAAATAGGACACACCATCACTGTTTGTTAGCTGTATATGTTTTTCCCTTGAAAACACAAGGACAGACAAGAATACACAACTCACACGTCCTCCATGACATAAATATATGTTTACCTATAGGTGTATCCCAAGAGGCTGATAGTTGAAGACTTTTCTTACCTGGCCTTCCAGGAAAGGGGGATACTCTTGTTCACGTGTACTAGAGCGACGTCGTACTCGTAGAACTGGGATACATTTCTGTGTTTGAGTGCACTGATGTTATACTTGGGGTGAATGATCACTTTGCTGGACATCACTCTGCCGTCACCTGGGAACCAAAGAAGCCACTTGTTGCTGAGGGTGTAAACAGTCACAATGTTCTGATGCAACTAACACTGTCTCCGTGTTGATTCGTTAAAGGATAACATGCCAAAAAACGTGATTTTTAATCAAGATCCTTAAATTTATCAAAGTCATCAACTTTAAAACCCCAGAAAAAAACCTCAACAAGTGTTTTCTTTTGTCAACCCCCAATGGCCCACTTGTCTCCAACAATATTGTCCCACATTGACACTGACCGTGTTCTATGTCCACTTGGTAATTGATGCTGTCCGTGCTCGCTTTGACAAAACAGTGAGCAGCTGTCAGCACCCAGTTCTGGCTCACGATGGATCCAAAACATGACTTCTTAGGTCCCCATACAGACTGTAAGGGTGCATGGTGTTACGTGTGTGTGGAGATCAGCTTGAAATAAAAACTCTTGTATGATTTCAGTGAGTGTGCAAAGCTCTCACTGATTTCAGAGTGACGTGCCAGGGCTTGGTGTAGACAGGTGTCGCCCACGTTTCATCTTCCCAGGCGACGTTTTCCTGAGCAACCCCACACATCGTCACACTCTTGTCACCTGAGATTAGAATTGACTTTTAATAGAAATTAACATGTGGAAATGTCTTTTAAGTCAAGGCATAGTTTTTAAAAGAATGACTTTTTTTGTTGTCATTATGCAGCTGCTCCAAAAGTCTCAGTTATGAAACACTGAGGCAGTTGTTTAAGGCTGAGGGTTGAGAGCAGTCTCTTACTTATGATGCTGTTGAACACCTCTCCCAGTGTTTCAAAGTCTTTCAGGATGAAGACGTGTTGCTCGCCACGTTTCTGTGAGGTTAATGAGTTCAACTCTTCTTTTTTCAACTTGGTCCCAACACCAAACACATAGACATCTGAAAACACACAGGCAAAGATACTCAATGTGTATATAAGCATGTCAAAACACATTACGTCAACACTAAACGTTGCTTTATAAACTTCAACAGTTTTCATTAATTGCGTTAATTTTAAGTGACTTCTTGATACCCAGCATCGTCTCATGTGTGTGATCCTGAGCCGTGGGGCTGTAGCCCAGCAGTTGCCTGATCTGGGCCAGAGCGATCTGAGGCTTGTTGCCTGTGTTGGAGAAACCTGTTGGCAGAGCAACGTGAGAGAAAGAGTGAAAGTTTGAAAAGAGCTCTTATCTTTTTCACTTGAGAAAAATAATCTGTTCTGTTTTCTCAATTAAAGAGATGGAATTAATTAAATGATATTCTGTTTTCATGAGGAAGAAAAAATCTGAATTAAAAAAGATTTCTTTCATGAGATATTTTACAGTTTTTCAGAATTAACAAGATTTTCTGTTTTAATGTGAAAAAAAATTTAAGTAGATTTTTTCCTAATGAAAGAAAAAAATCTCGTTATCTCAGATTTTCTCAAATGTATGCATTACTCTTCTGAGCACAAGTTTGTGAAAAGCTTTCTCAGCTCCTCACCGTCTGTTTCTATGATGATGATGTTCTGAGTCTCATTAAAATGGTTCTTGGCGCTGTTCTGCTTCATGAAGTTTATCACCTCACTGACACGGTGCAGCGCAGCGTGGAGGTTGGTGCCCGTTTTACGCCCGTGGCCTGTGGATAGAACAAAAACCAAAGAATGAATGATGGAAACCTAAAATGACAAGAAATTCCATTAATATGTTCGTCCATCTTGTTTCTCGACTTCAGGCCTTGAATAAATGAAAACTGTGGCAGAGTCTTACTGTCGTAGTTGAACTCCTGCAGATTCCATATGACGTCCTCAGGGCTACTGCTTATATCTGTTTGTGTGATGTCTACGATGTCCTTAGCCTCGCTGGCAAATGACACCACATGGAAATTTAACTGTACCTCGTAACTGTCCAGCTGAAAAAGAAATTAAGAAGACATGTTTCATGGACTGATATTTATGAGTGTGTGTGCAAATCCAAATAAAAATCCACATCTAGGGAATTTGAATGTGGTTCCATAAGGGGACTGTGGAGCCTTGGCGGCGGTATGCTATTCCTGTGTGCCATTCTACTGGGGTGCTATAAGAATGAGTCGACAGCTGAGACTCATTCGTGATTGGTCGGCCATATCCAGGATACTTTAGATTAATTTCTGTATCTTGTATCATCTTTATAGTTCAACAATATCTGCTTATCTGTTGTCTTTTATCCACATCTCTGTGATTAAAATCAAACCAAGCTCATTTGGTTCAGACCTTTCTGATGAGAGCAATGGTGGCATCCCTGGAAATACCAAAGTCCTCCTTTGTGATGCTTCCTGACGTGTCCAATAAAATGTAGACATTGATGCGACTGCCTGCAGCCACACGGACGGTTCGGCCAAAGGATCTTGTTACTGCTAATACATGGAAAGTAATTTCTTTTAATATTGGAATTGGCTTTATCTTGGTCCTCAGAGTATTTGCTCAACAACCTTTTGTGCAAACAATTAAAATGACATCTTTGTGCATCTGCAAAACACTGGTTGAAGACACAGATACTAGGTGTTCCTACCTTCCTTTTTGGCTTCTGGTGAGACTACGTCCATGATTCCAGCAAGTGACCCCGCCATGGCTTTGGCCACAACACTGGGGGAGTCAAAGGTGTTTGGACCTGTGGCAAAACACAGAGATAGCTCATTGTCGCTGCTTTATATCGATAGTCCACTGCTGTGATAATAACAATTGGACGTTAATCAGATTAGCTTTTTTTTTAATGTTTATCAAAAGACCAAATTTTCTAAAACACCTTGGCAGCGTGGCGTTGAGCCGCTCCACTCCCTGTTCTCCAGGCAAACCCTTACAGCCGACCCGAGCAGATTCAGACCGGTCTGACACTGGTAGATCAACTTCTCTCCATAGTGAAACGGGCCCCCTGACCTTATGGCCCCCGGCGGGATCCCTGGGTCATCACAGTCGTCAGCTGCATTTAAAAACAGAGAGCCAACAATAAACTAAACGATAGTTATTTTTTAAGGCAACAACAACATTTTGGAATTGGACCAGTGTTTGTGCTACAGGCTCTAGAAATGTTCAGAATCTACCTACTAATTCAATGAAAGTCTGTCTCTCTGCGTGTGGAGCACATATCTTGTGAAGTATTCAACTTCACTTGTCGCTTGTAAGATTTTAATAGATCATTGAGCAGTGCTCTGTAGCAGTCAGCTCCAGAGCTTTTACACAAACTCCAAACAGGCAGGTTTAGATCGAGCACTGCACTAGTAGAACTTGATTTGCAACAGAAGATTATGTGGGACTTTGAAATGATGCACACCATCAGAAACACATTGTAAACACACGTCCTAAAGCACTGAAACATACACTTACGGAGAATAAAT